AATGATTAAGAAGCCAAAGAAATCCTAGCCGCCGTCGTGTAAAAAATGAAGTGCATGTTCAGACTTTCAGCCTTATTCACAATGGTGCAAAAGTCAAAGCGCGAAGAGGTTTCAAATAACCAAGTCTTATAAGAGGACCGGGTAGCCAGCGGTAAACGCTCGACCTCCCATCCCAGAGATGCGAGTTCGAATCTCAGCCGTGAGTTATTTTTAAAGTACAGGGAAATGATACTAAATTTCATTAAAATGGATTAATATAATGGAATCATTAAAACTAACTAAAACTAATACGATTAAATAATTAAAAGTATCGTATAAAAATGAGTAAATTTAAAAGTAATGACGTATTATAATTAATCACGTATTAAATAATTAAATCAATAAATTAAAAGTGGTGTCCTGCCAAACACGGGTTAAGAGCTCGTGCCATAAACTAAAAATAGTGTCGTTTGCCACAAAAAAATAAAAACTTTGAAACGTAAAATCGTTGCCACAAGAATCAAACGAAAGTTGATGAGTCATTCCATCTACGTCATTTCCGGTTGTCACGTGATTCAGATGGCGTGACCACGCCCCCTTTTCTTGACGTCACTCCCCTACGGTTTCCCCGTTACACTAACGTCCAAATGTTACTGTTGAACGCTGTTGTGTGGGATTAACGAGAAGCAATTAAAAAAGGTAAACTACGGTTATATTATTTACCAGTGTTATTTATCAGAAAAATTTATTTTTATGTTGATATTTTTGGAGGTGCGGAACCGATTAACTGTATTTCCATTATTTTCAATAGGGAAGTTTGTTTCTAGATACGAGAAATTCGCTATACGAGCTCATTTCTGGAACGAATTAAACTCTTGCTATAGGTAACGCATAAACGTTTGGAACTGCAAAAGTAATTTTAGATCCCCTTATATGTTATTTTCACAGCAAAATTATAGTATGTAGTAGCCTTCTCATAAAAAAATATGCCCTCAATAAATTATTAGTCTACAGATAGCAGAAATAAAAATTGAAAAAATGTCATCAATAGCCACTGTTCTAAACATCAAAGTAGATTTAAAGCATTTAGAATTATAATTCGATTATTTCTTTTGTCCTTTTGTCTATAATACAATTTTATTTGCTATTTGCTTTCATGGGCATTTAATGTGAATCAAGTACCATTTTTCTGTTATGCATAAACGTATAACTCAGTAGAATATTGCAAAAGGAGGAGCATTCTTCTTGCATAAAGATTTACACTCATATGCCGTTTATTTATGGTCGCCATTAACCAAAGAATGTTATTTAATATCTTTTGTTGTTAATAAATAAGTTATAGTTAATAATTCTGCTCATTTTGTTGTAGCAAGTGCGAAAGAAGAAGACAATACCTCTGATTCTCAAAAGGATCCCACCAAGATGCCATATGTCAGACCAAACAAAGGTTTGCCGAAACTAAAATTAATTCTTGATCCACGACATCTGGTAGACATGAAACGTCTCCTAAAGGAAGGTGTGGATATCGTGGAGCACAATGCTGTCAGCCCTGAAATTTGCCACGATATTGTTAAAGACCTAAATTCGCCAAAAGGGAAAGGAGGGCAACTATTCGCTAAAAGGAAGAAGAAAAGCGAAGAATGGGTCGTCGATGAAGAAAAAGTAAACACATATTTGAATTCAAAATAGTTAATTTAGTACCTTGCTAAAACTGCTCACAAAGGAGTTTAATATTTCTCTTTTTTTCTCACTTAAAGGTAAGAACTTTGCTTCACACTCGATACCCAGGATATTCTTCTCCTGAACCTCCGGTTGAACCTTTGGTTCATCCCAGAGTGAAAGAACTGTCTGGAGTGAATTCTCAAGATATTGCTGAATCTGTTATTCGAGCAGCTGAAGCAAAAATCATGACGTATCCCAATGCAGTTCCTCAAGTTCCTGTTATAGAATGCCTGGATAGGCCAGACAGCAGTGCAGGATCCCAATTACAGACACCGTTGCTGGCTAACCAGTATCAGAAACCTAATCCATGGTCCTCCGACGCTTACAAATGCAGATTGCCCAAAGGGTGGACGAGTTCTACGACGTGTAAGTATATGCTAGGTATTACCATTACTTATTGTATCCATATCCTACTGTGCTAATCACTAATAATGATGTCACTGAAAGCTTCTAAAAACCTAATAGGAAGAGAATTAAATGGTTCAGGGAAATAATTTTGTGTAGTTTAATTGTAAACAAAATGCAAACATTCAGTAGGCAAGGAAATGTTGCTGATTGCTGTTTCTTTGCTGCTCAGTTTCCCTTTATCAAAGCACTGCTGGTATGGTGAACAAAAAAGAAGTTACAACTCTGGAAGCTGGTGTGTTTAGTCGAAACAAAGAAAGTGAAAAGCTTTCCAGTCGACAAACAGAAGGCTTTACCTTCAACAGTCCCCTCCTCTGTGACATTTGCATTTTCGATCTCGAGAGCGGAATTTTGCAAATGATTAATTTTTGCTTGTGTTTACGGTATGACGATTACATATTTGTTCTTTGGTACAAGTCTATTGATTAACCTTCCGGATTTTCTCTAAGCTTGAACACTTTAAACGAAAATATACAATATATTTTTGAAGGAAGAGAATGCTTGAGTTGAACTCACATTGTAATTGCTTTTAAAATAAATACAATATCCCAATTCTTGCATCGGTCACATATTCGAAGATCATAAGGGGTTTAAGGTGTATGAGCCCCCTTAAAGCCGAAGGGAATAAAGATTCGGAAAAGTTCTTACGTGTAATGTCCATAATGGTAGAAGAATAACATCGAGAAAGAGCAGTACCTTACAAAGTATTAAATTCTTTTATCAAAGAAGATTATTTATATTATCTTTAGATTATCTTTCCTTTTTGAATGTACTGGTTACGAAATATGATAACAAATTTCATGCAAACGTTTTTCGTTAGCCATTTGTTCACTTTGCTCCCACGCTCGTTCTGTCCATCCATATAAACAAACATTTGCGGCTTATCACATTTTTGTTCATTCTGCAATTTATTTATGCTCCTTCTTTGATAAAAGAATTTAATACATTGTAAGGTACTGCTCTTTCTCGTTATTATTCTTCTACCATTATGGACATCACACGTAAAAACTTTTCCGAATCTTCATTCCCTTCGGCTTTAAGGGGGCTCATATACCTTAAACCCCTTATGATCTTCGAATATGTGACCGATGCAAGAATTGGGATATTGTATTTATTTTAAAAGCAATTACTTCCAACTTTTTACAGCCGAGTACATAATATAGCTGCTTTCTTGAATAGTAATCAGAAGTTTTGTTGCCCACAATATTCTTGTAATTTAATTATCCGCCTTTGCGACAAAATTTTTCGTCATGTTTCCACCTTATGATGCGCATGATATTTTAAAAATGGCTCGTGTACATACTTGAAATTTGATGGAATTCTTATATAGGCGCTATTATCTAACTGAACCAAAAATCTGATGAATATTTTAATATTAAAAAATTTTATTCACGAACATGACAGATTTTTTAATAAAAGTTTCAAACTAAAATCAAATACAATAAAATTTAAAGTGAAATTCTTAGAATTTTGGTTCACAGTATTTCCAATGTTATAAAAGCTATATATTAAATATGGAATTAAATTATGCAACGAATGTTTTAAACTGTGCGCGCAAGGTGGAAACACGACGAAAAATTTTGTCACAAAGCGGATTAAATTATAAAACTATTTGTGGCAACACAAACTTTCTGATTACTATTTAAGAAAGCAGCTATATTATGTAGTCAGCTGTAAAAAGTTGGAAGTAATTGCTTTCAAAATAAATAAGTTACCCAATTCCTGTAACAGTCACATATTCGAAGATCATACGGATTTTAAGGTGTATGAGTCCCCTTAAATCTTCAAAACAAAGATACTTCAGTTTCTTCCGTTTGACTTTCACCATTAATTCAATTCCTTTCTTTATAAATGATTCAGACAATACGGTTTTCTAGTGTAACAGCTTTAATATCGTTTTAATCTCTCGTGCATTTGAAATAGATGAATAATAAATTATGTACAGATTACTGGCAATATTGAAATGCAGGCTCGAGAGCTGCATGCATTTTCTCCTCACAAAGCAGGTAATTATTTTTTTAAATAAGTTATAGAATATGTTTTCGCTTCTTGTTTGTATGTCGCCATTTTTGAGTGTTAAATAAGTTTTTTTGCTGTGTTCCATCATTGGAGTTGCTGCATATCACCAAGAAGCATTACAGTCATAATTATTTTGGAGGCAACCGACCGAGATCGAATATCGTGCGTATTTTTTATTTCATTAGTTCATCACTGAACTAATATAGTGATACCAGATTATTACTTTCTGTTAATATTGAATTGCTTTATTTTATTAGTTCACACTGAACGCAATATTATGATACCAGGTTATACTTCCTGTGATATTGAATTGCCTTTTTTTATTAGTTCATCACTGAACGTAATATTAGTGATACCAGATTATTACTTCCTGTTGATATTGATTGCCTTATTTTATTAGTTCATCACTGAACGTAACTTCCTGTTGATATTGAATTGTCTTATTTTATTAGTTCATCACTGAACATAATATTAGTGATACCAGGTTTTATTACTTCCTGTTAATATGAATTGCCTTATTTTATTAGTTCATCACTGAACGTAATTTAGTGATATCAGGTTATTACTTCCTGTTAACACTGAACTGCCTTATTTTATTTAGTTTATCACTTGAACGTAATCTAGTGATACCATTTTAATGCCGTTTCTACTAGAGCTCAAAGGAAAAGAAAATAGCTGAAGAGCAGATCTTTGAAACCGATGAGGAAGAAAATAAAGCATCCAGAGATGTATTTGAAGAAGAAGCTAAATCACCAGAATTAAACGTGGAAGTTGTTACGAAAATTTGAAAAACGATAAAGAAATTAATATTGAGAATCATTTTGCAATGCAGCGTTATCATCATCTTTCGGCTTTTGATTTAATATCAAAGCCGCTACTAATAGACGAAGAAAACAATTGTCGAAAGCAATGACAAATGAATATTATCCGAAAGCACAGATGAACTGAGGAAAGGCTTTGCTGTGAATTATAGCCGAGGAACTGTTCCACCATCGAAGAGATCTAGGCGCCGTCAAGAAAAAAAAGAAACTAATTTGAACACTGTTCCATTTTTCTTTTTATTTAAATGTGGTGTAAAAATATTTGTTTAAAAAACTTGAAATTTTTCGGCCTGAAAATTTGGAAATTTACAAGAGAATTAACCTTTTCTCTTTAAGCATTTGAGCAAGCCGGAGCTTTTAAACTGTCAAATTTTACAGAACTTTTCCCCTTCGGAAAAAGTCTCTCCGTTGGGGAGATGTTGTAACAGCTTTAATATCGTTTTAATCTCTCGTGCATTTGAAATAGATGAAAATAAATAATGTACAGATTACTTGGCAATATTGAAATCAGGCTCGAGGTGCATGCATTTTCTCGCACGAAGCATGTAATTATTTTTTTTAAATAAGTTTATAGAATGTGTTTTCGCTTCTTGTTTGTATGTCGCCATTTTTGAGTGTTAAATAAAGTTTTTTGCTGTGTTCCATCATTGGAGTTGCTTCATATCACCAAAGAAGCATTACACTAGTTCCCTTTGAACCTGCAAATAAACTCAAGTTTGCAAAAGCCGGAAACCAGAGTTTCAAACTTTGGTCATTTTTAGAGTTTTTTATGAATGTAGGTTTGCTGATCTGCAGATTTGTAAAACTGGGGATGCGCTAACAATTTTGTACATTAAACCGAAAGGTGAAAAAAAGGCATCAATAATATCGCGTCATTTTTATACAAATCACAGTCTTAAATGTTTAGAAAGCCAGAAATTATTGGTGACATCAATTTGCCCTCAATTTGGATTTCTAAATATCTTCTTAAATCTTCCTGTACAGAAGTTTTGAGGACGGCGCAGCGTTTTCCCCTTTCGTATAGGAGAACTAAAAAAATCTGTTTCGAGTCTCAGCTCTTTTCTATGACGGTAAAAATGCTTCATGTTAAAAACCAGTATTTGTAACTCAGTAACGGCTAACTAAATGCTGGAATACTTGCTGCATTTTCTTTCTGATCTAACTTTAAGATTTTAACAATTAAGCTTTTGAACAATTAAGATTTGATTAAGCTAATTCAGCTCTGAAGTGTTAAATGTGTTGACGAGGAGACATTTAACAGAAATCTCTTTTCATAAACAAAAAATAGATTTTGTAAACCATACTCACAGGCCAAAATATTGTATTTAGTGTTCTCTAAATTGAGAATAACTGATTTGTTTTCAGATAAGTCCAGGATCGGTGTCAGAGCAGATGCGGCCGCTCCGGGCGGCAGAATCAGGCAAAATTTTTAGAATTTAGTTAAGTAATAAAATTAAGCGCTGTCAAAATTTTTGTAATTTAAGGGGGCGCTTCGTAGCAGAATTTCGGACCCGAAGAGATTGCACCGTGCCGCAAAATGTCTATAGATAAGCCTTAAGTATATGTGGAACTTTATTTATTCGGAAGTCAGATAAGCTTAAGGAAATAGGCGTAAATATAAAAAATATAAGGTATTTCTCCCACTTTCCTAGCGTGCCTTCGTGGTGTAGTGGTTCTGCGCGCTGGGCCGGTATTCCAGAGGTCCGTGGTTCGATTCCCGGCGAAGGCGTTTCCTAATTTTTCATCTTTCCGGCTTCCAAAACTAAATAAATAAATAAATAAATAAATACCTAATGACTACAAAAATAACTAATATAATTCAAGCTCAACTTCGTCAGAGTGCAATAGAAGCAAGACAAATCCTTTTCGATAGTAAAAATGTAAAGTATGCCAAAAATGCTGCTTTTCGCTTTCCATATTTGAAAGAGCACCGATAAAAAACTACTGCGTAGAATCAATCGAACTGTTTTCACAAACAAGTCTCGCTATATCAGTTTATCAAAATACACTCATGTCCATAAATTAAGGATAATTCGGAGTCACGCGGAAATCGAACTCTAAAATAAATATATCACCTGTAAAATCACTACACACATCTTCAAGAATCATACGCAAATTTCAGGAAGTAATCAGATGACACCGATGGGCACGTCACAATGACGAGAGTGTAGGAGATTGATATTTAAGGAATACGGCAAAGAGTAAATTGTTCGCAGTTACTTTATAAGCATTTTAGTGCAATAAACCGACTAGTTATGACACAAAAGACCATCTGGATGATTTTTTACGTGGTAGAATTATCGGCCGTCTGAATGTGGGCGTAACCCAACTGGAAGTATCAGACGAACTTGGAATTGCTCAGAGTGTCATCTCCAGGCTTTGGCAACGATTCCAAGATGATGGTAATGTGAGTAGACGTTACAGCACAGGTCGCCCCAGAGTTACAACCCCGAATGAGGACCGGTATTTGACAATTACTGTCAAAAGAAACAGGCGGAGCACAGCCTCAGACCTGTCTCGTCAGCTCTCCTCAGCCACTGGTACGCCAATTTCAAGGCAGACTGTGTACAGACGCTTAGGGCAGATTGGTGTATATGCTCGTAGACCTGTCAGATGCGTTCCACTTCCTGCAACTCACTGTCGCCTACGGTTAGCCTGGAGTAGAGAGCATGCATTGTGGACACCGCAACAGTGGGCTTGTGTGATGTTTTCCGACGAGTCCAGGTTTAGCTTGCAGTCTGATTCTCGCCGGACTTTCATATGGAGAGCTCCAGGTACCCGTTACCACCAAGAAAACATCATTGAACGACACCGTTACGGTGGTGTAGGAGTGCTCGTTTGGGGTGGAATTATTCTGAGTTCGAGAACTGACCATGTTCAAATTGGAACCATGACAAGCCAAATCTATCGGGACGCCATTCTGGAACAACATGTACGTTTGTTTCGGGGCGCCATGGGCGCACAATTTGTGTTTATGGATGACAACGCCCGTCCTCACCATGCAAACATAGTAAGCGAATGCTTTCAATCGGAGCATATCACCCGTATGGACTGGCCAGCATTCTCACCGAACTTGAATCCAGTAGGGCACGTGTGGGACATGCTTGGCGGACGAGTTGCAGCCCGTCAACCTCCTCCTACATGTCTACCGGAACTTCGGAGAGCATTGCTTTTTGAGTGGTGTAATATCCCCCAAGATCAGATCGATAATTTGATACTCAGCATGCCTAGGCGTTGTACGGACTGTATCGCATCGTCTGTGAGACATACAATCATACCAGCCATGTAATATTGGTTTTTTGTAAATAGGTTTTCTTTTTGTAATTTGCTCCAGGGAGAAAAAACCGCTAATTTTTTTTTAATAATATCAAACATATAGCATCTTATTTTGCTCTTTACCTTTTGTTTAATAAATAAGCTTTACAAGTCGTCAACATATATGAAATCAAAAATTTGTTTTGCTTCTAACTCTTCCTTTGCCTGATTTTGCATTATCCTTAATTTATGGACATGAGTGTATATAACGATTTGCGGCTTAAGTATGAAATTAGCTGTGTAAAAGTACAGTTAAGCTCTTTGTTGGGGAAAAAAACGAAATTTCGAACAACCCAAAATATATAAATTATTATTAATATTACATTTTACAAATAAAAATAAGGAATTATTTTTATAAATTTTGCTAGGTTTGCATGATATTAGCGTTTTGAGCATATTTTGGGTAAGGTGATTTTAGTTACGTTTTAGCCGTTATTTGCAGTAAACTTTGAATCTAGCAGTTTGATGTCGAACAGTTCTCCTCCCTGGAACCGTGAGGGAAATTTCCCATTTTCTGACAACTCCTTCTCTAAAGCATTGATAAATATATGAATTAAAATTTTCACTAAAATTTAGTAATTTGCTTTTCTAGTCATGTGTTCAGTTGTGCAATTTCTAACATTCACTTATTTTTCTGTATATGTGTAAGAAAAATAAAGAAGATTAAATTAGCAGCGTAAATTAATTTCCCTTCTCTATTATAAAAATAGCAACATCTATTTGCACTGCATCATTTCGAGAAAAATCTATGTCATATGACTCTTGCGTAATTCTGGTGATGTAAATTGAACTAAAACTCAAGCAGCTAATAATAGTTTTCAGCAATATTAACTATCCAATCAAAATGCTTTGAGAACCAAAACTAAGTTTGACTTGAGATTTCATCCTGAACATTACGCACTTTCTTTCTACGTTTTGCCGTAGCTGCACTGCTGTCTGTCTGCTGCTGCTAAGTTATCAAAAATGCAAGCCTTTCGGAACAGTCACATTTAATCTGCCGACTTGTGTATAGCCGCAATATGTTGCTGAAAATAAAAACTGAAGATTTAATCTACCTTCGCCTCCACTTTCCTGGTCATTGCTTTTAAGACTGAATCTATTACAATTGAGTCGTTCTGAGTTTGAATATATTACATATACAATCAAAAGTCTTTAATCCGGACTCGTCGGGACTTCGGCGATTCCGGATTATCGGTTTTTCCGGATTATAGATCATCAATTTAAATCTGGTAAGATGTGATGCAGAAATTATAAAATTAAAAATATGAAACCGTAATTTATGAAATAAAGAGCAATTATGATCTAAAAAGTGTCAAAATTTACACACACACACACAAAAAGCTTAATATTTACTTTATTAAACATTTCTTTCAACGCGCGCATGCGTAAAGCATACATTACGCATAGTCAAATTAGAAAATTGCAACCAGAAAACTATTTGATGTGTATTCGTGATATTTATAATGACGAGGAATTTGATTTAAATCATATCAAAAACGGAGTACATCGAGATGAAATACTACATTTAGTAAGAAATTATAAGCTGAATAAAAAGTAAAAACATCTGCCGTGAAGATAAGGATAGTGCTAACAGATCAACTTCCAGTTCATTGCGCACCGCGACGTCCCCCGCTTCCGCAGAGCAGCGTGAAATTGATAAACAGATTTCGGAATGGTTAGACGCATCGGATTATAGATCATTCCGGATTATGGACGTCCGGATTAAAGACTTTTGACTGTATAAATTTACTTTAAATCAATACAAAATGTTTTCAACCTCGGAATGAAAGATCCATCAGTTGATCTTCACTTTTCGATTGTTCTAAATACTGAGCTTTGGCAGAAATGGTTATTATCCTCAATGATTTATAATAATTTATCTTTACAGCGTCTTCAATTCTTGTCCAGGATGACACATTTGCAGTGAAAGAGTCCCAGATAACGACCTTCATGCCAACTGCCCAGCCTTTGATGAAAAGTGCCACTACCTCAAAATTATTTAATTTTACCAACTTCAATGCATCACCCAAGGCATGGAGTCCGGAGTTGCCACAACATTTTCGACCCTCATCTATCAAACCAGTCAGGCCTCCTTCTGTCCTTGTTCAATGAAATTGTTACCAAAAACATAATATATATATTAAACTTTGTAACTGAGTTGGAAATTATTGCATTGTGTTTTATACGTAGCTTCCAGTCATTTGTTGGTAAGCAAATGGCTGGAATGCATTAAAATACCCTTAGGGTCAACAAATGTTATTTCCGATTGTCAGCTGAAAATGCTTGTTGGTCTGTGCAATACAGTTCATAAGACTTAAGTGACTCCAAAGATAGTTTTATTTTGTGCAAAGCTTGCAAAACTCGAACAAATGTGTTTGTGTTTTTTGAGGGGAAAACTCTCTTTGATTAATTTTAGCTGAAAATTAAAAATGATCATGAATGAAGTATTTTGTTTTCTTTTTATTATTGTGTAAGTATATCCGAATTCTTGTGTGCACTAAATTTTTGTTATGACATAAAATGGCGCTAGAATGCAGTATAGTGTTTACCTTGTAAGAGATGCTTATTCTAAGCATTATAATGCATAAGATTATTTAGTAGGTAGTATTAGTGAAATACTACGTTTTTTTTTTCTCTCAGATAGTCTGGTTTATTTGAAAAGTTGAGTCTCTGAATTTATTGAATTCTAATCTTAAATTGTATACTTTCTTATTCAACTAAAATTTATTCATATGAATACTGAACTCAAACAGTTTTAAAAAGCATTGCATTCCATTCCTCTAATTTTTAAAGTGAGATAGATACACCCTTTTGTCTTTCTTTATTCATGCACAGGTTTTTAGTTTTTGAGATGCTATTTAGAATCTTGTAAAAAATTACTCGGTGTAAAATTGATGTCGTTTGCAAAATATGACTCATGACGAACACCTCAACTTTTACGCCTAATACTTATTGCTTTTATTTAAGGTACTGATTGTGATGCTGCATTTGCTTAAAGGTCACGGGTACACCAGACAATCAAAATCGTAAACACCAGACAATACTTTGGTAGACAATAATTATTAATAAAATACAGTTTTCTGCTTTTATTTGCTTTACGTATCTTTTTGGCTTACCTCAAATATTTAAAGCTGCGTGTTTTAATATTGCGACGTCTGTCCTGCGGCTAATTTACACTGCATGGAACATTTAGACGTTTCATATTAAATTATAAATTTATAATACGAATCACATATATTGTAGTGAAGGTATGAGTATCTATGTATACAAAAAATAATCTCTATTTGTGTCATTAATCTGTAATGTGAATAAAGTTTTCAGCTTAATAAAATAGATAAATAAAAGCTCTAAGAAGAAAATAGTTTTTTTTATATTTCTGACAAGAATAGCTTTCTAATTAACTAGAAAATAATTATGATATAGTTTTATGATTAAATAATTACATAAATGATCAGCTATGCATCTTCTAAATGCATTTTCTGTTTTAATGATTCACATAACAGTTCTTGCATATGTGATACTTGGTATTTGCAAAATATTTGAAGTAAAATATTTTACCCAAATACTTAGATTCACATTTCTTTAATCACGAATATACTTAATTTTCTTATAACTGTTACTGTATATGTAGAAAGAAAGTCACAGCTGTTTAGTTTTTCTGGATTGAAGTCAGTTTTGTACTTTTGCTTAAAACTGGTGCTCGTGAAATGAGCGTTAAGAAATATAAAACTGTAAAGAATTGGTTCTTTTTTATTGTTTTCTTTATTATGTTATTGTAAAGAATTGTTATATTTATGGAGTGTTTTTCTGTTTTCACATGAAAGATGTGTTTTCTTTTTAATAAAATGGAGCATTTTTCTTAATACTGTTTTTTCTTTGAAATCCGATTATAGTCATTGTGCATAAAACATTTAGATAGTTTTACGTAAATACCAAAGTTTCATATTACATTTAATCTGAAGAACAAAATTCTATATATCAATAATTACGTATAGCTAATGTGACACTTATGTTTCCGCTTAGTAAATGAAATTTATAATCCAAGAATTATAATTATAATTCATAATAAAGTAACTTATTATTCCAGTAAATTATAATTCATAATATAATTTATTATGAATTATAACGGTTGCATTTTACTTTATTAGCAGAAATAAATAAAAATTAGATATATTTTCTGCCTCTATAGTAATCGTCGGAGGATACAGAATGTTCTAAAGTTCAAAATAAGGAATCGATAATTGGGAGAACGTTAAATCAAAGATCGAAATGTTCGAAAATAAGATTATCTGCAAGTCTATCAGGACTTGTGTTCCTCTTTTCTTGCTTTGGAAACATGAACTGTCCTAACTCGGAACAGGGAGCTTACTCAAGCTATGTTCAATAAATTGTGAAGTAGACAATACACACAGGAACGGTATACGAAACCCTTTATTTTTCTATCTTTACAGCGATTTCCGGAACGCTCGGAATACAGAGACCAACCACTTGTGGTCTGAACGTAAGAATATAAAATACTTAACTAAAAACTCTAAACTAAAAACTAACTTTGGATTAATATACAAGTGCCTAACTTCAGATTGCCCGTTATTAACAAAAATCCGTATGGTAGTACAGAGAGCTGTAAAACTACGATACGTTTAAAATTATCAAGAGGATTAAAGCTCTGACCTTGAAGGCAACCAGCAAACGAGTAAAACTACTATGGCCAGCGGCCTGCTTCTAATAACTCCTTCCTCTCTCTTGCTTGGCAAAAAGCCACAACTTAAGTACTTAGCGTTAGCAAGACAAATTTGCATAAATAAGTTAAAGTTTTTAATTCTGGCCGGAAGTAGAAAATAAGAAGTGATAGTAAAGATTTAAAATAAAATAAACGTTAGTAAAACTTAGGATCCTTACAAGTCTTGCATTCTAAACATATTTTTAATATTTAAATTGTAGAGACATTATGTTTTTTTGAAGCAGGAGATGTGAAAATGTGCAATGTCCTCGCCGGGACTCGAACCTGGACCTCTCGAATACACGCCGTTACACCATGAAGGCATGCAGAAAGGAGGGTGAAAATACCTTTTAAAGGGCGACTCGGGATTAGAGGATGTAATCGCCAAATCTTGGTAGTGAAGAATCATAATCCACCACTTTTTTTTTTAGTTCGGGTGCCACTTGAGACACTTTGGGTTATTTTACGCAGGAGATGGTAAAAGTGTACAATGCCGTCGCCCGGGATTTGAACCTGGACCTCTCGAATACGTGCCGAGTGTGCTACCGTTATGCCACGAAGATATGCAGAAAAAAGGGAGAAAATACCTTATAACATATTAATTACATACACTAGAAGTTGATGCATACTTCGCTTTTAAATACCAAACTGATGCGTTCTCTCGACTTCTCTACTGACAAACCGAGCCTCGGCTTCCCCTTGTTGTCAAGTCCTAGAAATATATTGTTACGTTTTTATATTCTTCTGACACCAGTTGTTACGTTATTTTCTTCCTACACGTTCGTACGGGGTTCGTAGATTTGGAGTGAATAACGACGACACTTGATGAAGTATCGAAACACACTTTATTTAGCCAATATTAATCAGGACAGCTCCAAAGTCCCTTTTTACAGTCGTCGAAGATCTACAATAAACACGCTGGAACAATCACAATCAGCGACACAGCCTTCACACTGTCAGGCAATAACGGTGGAGACAGCTTCCTGCAAAGCACCCGACTCTCCTTTCCGGAGTACAGCTCCCGACTCTGCTTGGTCGTTCTCGAAACTCCACGTATTCTCGAGATTCTCCACGCTACAACTCGCGATGCACTCGACGATACACGAGCACAGCTCCCAACTCTTCGGTTCAGTCTTTCCCGGAGCTCAACACGCTCTCTCGACGATGCACTAACCGCGATACACTACGAGACTCTTTCGGTGCACTCGACGACCCACTCTGCACTCGCTGGCCGGCTGTCAACTCGATCGACTCCGCAGGGATTGACTCACTAGACAAGACACACTCTCAGTACTAATTAACTGATTGCGAACCAGCAGGGTTTATGTAGCTTTCGGCTTGTGTTCGAGAACATTCTGGGTTAAACCGGTAAGAATTCGTTCCAGAAGGTTCTCCATCAGTCCATGGCATATCGCCAAATGTGGCAACCCTGCCTTCCCCTTTCCATTTTATGGCAACCCTAAAACTGCTTTGCGGGGAAGCCATCTCACCGCACCTTGACATTTCGTAACAATATTATGAAACATAGCTTGGAGAAGAGGGAAGCAGGCTGTTAAGAGGAATGTGGCAAACAAATGCTAGCAACAGTAACTGAATTCCCATATGTAAATCCAGTGAGCACAAGCCGAGGTTTAAAATCCGTCCACTCTTTCAATCCCTTTGTTTTATACCTGATTCCAGTTTTAAATTAATTCACTATAAAGAAAGGCCTTTTTCTTGCCCATTACAATATTTTATTTAAGTGTAAATTACAATTTATAAAAGAAGAAGGTGTGATATTATAAGGTTCTGCTTTGTCTATAAGGTTATCTCAATATCCTGAAGAGCCTACTACACAAGGACGCGAGTTGTCGTTTAAGTTTGAAGCTATTGTCCAAGATGTAAGGGGGTTCAAATAAAAACGTTTTATTTGAACCTGACAGGATACAACTTTTATATCGCAATAACGAAAAATCTTTGGAATAGGCCAAATCATCACCGTTTATTGTCGTTCAAAGACATTTTTGCATGAAATTTCGTAAGAAACGCTGAAAGTCATAAACATTGAACGGTGTTTCAGGACACAGGCTGCTTGTCTAAAAAAATCAGCCCACAACGAACAGCAACCAAAACCGAAGTGGTTGAATAAAATTCGTGAAACCTTTTACGAAGTTCCACCTAATCAGCGCGCCAAGCGAGTTCTGAACATAACGTGCTTTATGTAACGGTGTAGCGTGTGTTACGGAAACGTTTACGATTCCAGCCATAGACCTTTCAGATGGTTCAGATGTTAAAACCTCCTGACAAACCGGTGCATAAAGCTCTTTCTGTGAGAATTTTTCAAGATAAGCTGAAGGTAAATGGTTTCACGAAGAGACTTGTGTTTACCGATGAATTCACGTTTCTGGCAAAATTAATCGCCACGAATTTTAGGCACAGAATATAACGGAACATGAGCGTGATTCTCCAAAGGTGAACGTTTTCTATGCCATTTCTAGTTGTGTTTTTTGTCCTTTTTTCCTTCTGAAAAAATCTATTAACTGGTGCATTTACCAAGGTATGCTACCAGAGTAGTTGTTTCCTCAACTGGAGAAAGTAGTTCCCGGCTTGACTCTGTAACAAGACGATGCTCCAGCACACTGGTATAAAAATGTGCGCCAGTACCTAAACGATAGCCTACCCCATCGCTGGAATGCCCGTGCTGGTTCAAACAATATGCCATTGCGGTGTTGTCTGCTGACATGTCCAAGTCTAACCTTTTGTGATTTTTTCCAGTGGGGTGCTATTAAAGTGTTCAATTTCTCCAGTACTTACAGTAACTGAAGCAGTGGGTAACTGAAGTGTTCGAATGATTAACACAGAATATTCTGTTACGAGTGTAGCAGGAACTGGAATATCGCATACATACCGGAGAGGTATATATAAAACATCTGCAGAAACTTGGATAACTGAAAAAATCGGATACCGTTCGGATAAACTTGGATAACTGAAAAACTCGGATATAGTTCCACTACAAGTTTGCTTTATCAAGATAATTACAGCGTTCATAGATATGCTTTTTTTCTGTCCCATTCAGCATGAAACACTCTAAACTTTCCCTGACATAAAGCAGTGTTAACACACATGTGAGACGTGAAGTTAATAAGATAGTGAAGAAAGATTGAGGTATTTTCTACCAGGCTTCCAGAACTCTTTCTATTCGTTGCACTGTTTGTGAAGATGAAAATGAGCCAATAATGCTCCTCTACAAAGCATTCAACATACATTTATTGGCTCTCACACCTAGGTAACATGGTGGCCTTTGAAGTTGAATGATTTTCTTGTCAAACAAGCGTTAACCGCAAGCCAAAACATGTAGCCTGAAATTATCATTTGCAAGAAGAAATTTTCATCACACACTTCTGCAGCGTAAGGACTGACGAATAGTCTTAGAATCTCAGCCTTACGGTGAGGAACAAACAGTGATTCATTTTATTGAGATACTGGTCTGTACAATTGTTAACAGAGATACCTAGCCTATACCCTAACGTCACTGCATGTCGAGAACTTTATTACACAAGTAAATTGTTATGAATGCAATCATCATTTACCGGCATCATTCTCTCCAAATAATGAGTCACCTGTTGTCAGAATTATAGTAAATGCAACTCTTCTCAGAAAAGAACATTCCTTCATTCATTACTTGAGTGGTTCTTGTCCATACAATCTGCGAGCAGCGCAATGACTCCCTGTTAGGCAGCACTTTTCCTAGCCTGTCGAGTATACAAGCCAATCCGTTTGTAAACGTGCGAGGTTCATGATACAGAAGATTCATACTCCGATTTCCCATAGCCTTTAGTGATAAACCGTCAAGTCAAAACATTTTCCTCTATGTAACAGTAATTGGTCTGACCTCTATGTAACAGTAATTGGTCTGACCTCTATGTAATTGTAACTGTATCCGGACCTATGTAACTCTGATTCTATTCGGCGAGCAATTTCGAGAAAACGTAGGTACTGAAAATTTTTTGCCGTACTGTAGGATCATTGTGAGAGCTTTGGCTTTTTGTATTACCTTGTGTTCAACTTTCTTAGTAGTTTAAATTACTAAGTGTTTGGTAACTACTGATTTTGCTCTGTCGTACTTAAAAGATCTGTACAAGTACTTTTGTGTGACGAGTTCCA